CAGTGTTAGGGACTAAGATTATTTGAAATCAAGCCACAGTCCCTGGAGGAACTGTGACTGATTAGTCACCTTCTTCCAAAAGGACAACCCGTCGAGTCCCAGTGCAAAAAGCAAGGGTTCAGAACAAGCCATGTTTTAGCAGGCCTCGACCTCTGACTCCTGCTCCTCCAGCCCTGAGAGGCAGGCAGAAACTCTGCTCAGCCTCTGCCTTTCAGTCAGGGCTCTGGAATTTGGAAACACCCAGGGAGAAAATGAGCTGAGATAAACACCAGGCTTACTTACTAACACAGGCCTTCACCCCTCAGATCCTACCCGGTAGTTCTCTCGATCTCGAGAAGATGCTGCTCTTAGAAGATGCTTTTAGATAGTTGGTCTAGCTTCTCTGGTTTTCTCAGCGGTTCTGTCATTCCTGAAACAGAAGTCTCCTGTGTGTAGTTTCTAACTTCCCCTTCTTGTCGTTTCAGTGGGAGCGCCCTGTGTGTGTCAGGTACTTCACATAGGTTAGTAGAACTGTGTGGTTATTATTCCCCTCATGGAGATGAGGAAACTGGAGTAGCAGTGATTAAGGAGCGTTGGTGATGGATCCAGGATTCACACCAGGTCTTACTGACTCCAAAACCCATGCATCACTCATAGTGCTATGCTTCACCTTTTGTGTTTTCCATATCCAATTTGTTCTGCTAGAAAACTTTATTAGATAATTTAAAAAATGACACAGACATAAAACATGAAAATAAGCTATTGACTATGTGTGGCTTAAAGCTATTATCAAGCATAAAACATACTCATCATTATAAAGTAACACTTATCCAACTATGGGGAAAAATCTGTATTATGAAATAGATAAGGAGGTGAGTAATGAATAAAATGAACGAATGGAAAATTTCGGTATTAAAATAATATTACTTTATATATGCAATTTGAAAACATCATTATAATAAAATCCAAAGGAAAATCCTAAAAGACAGACTAATTTACATTTTCTACAGATAATAGCATTGTATACACATTCATGTGAAAGAAAACTATTTATTCAGCAGGTGAAAAAGTCAATGAATATCTGAGGGACAATTCCAGATTTTTCAGTTTAATAGTAATGGATATGATTTGAATCTATCAAAATTCCTTATTAAGAGAACAAGAGATCTTGGGCCAGTGCATGCCATGATGGTTAAGGCAGCTGGATTCCACATGGCCAACTGTGTGGTTTGAATCCTGGACTTGGCAGCTTGAGAAACATACTGGGCATGTGTACACGCATGCCCAAAATCTTGAAAGGAAGGAGAAATGGAGAAGGGACTGTTCCCCATGGAGGAGTGCTTTCTCACTTCCACCCTCACTCTTTCTCTCCAGTGAATGCACGTGCCCTCTGAAAAAACAGAAAAGAGCATAAAAAAGGAGGTCTTTGTTTCCTTAGTTATATCTTAAAACTAGTTTGTCTTAATTTTGAAAATTAAAAAATTGCCTCAGAATTAGGATCAGATTTATATCACCTAATTGTGAGGGCAATATGGGTATATATATTAGTTATCTATCACTTTGTAACAAATTATCCCAATAATTTTCCCAAAACCAATCAGTAGCTTGGTGTTTTGGTGAGTCAGCATGTGCGAGCGGTTTAGCTGGATGGCTCTTGCTCAGGGTCTCTCATGGGAGGATGGTCAAGCTGTTGTCCAGGCTGCAGTTATCTGGACAGGCATTACTGGGGCTGGAAGTTCTCTTTCCAGAATGGCTCATGGACATGGCTGTTGACAGGAGGCCTCAGTTCCTGCTATTTGTTGAAGTCTCCTTCTTCTCTGGGCCATCACAAACCAGGGCCCAGGGCCATTTCTCTGAATGAAACTCAAGATTCTCCTTCAACATAACAGGCACTTGAAATTCTCCAGGGTTATGCCCAAGAGTAGTACAGCTCCCAGTTCCCCAACATCACTGCAGCCATTTCTTCCTTAAAAGGCAGAAGGTAAAACTGGTAAGCATGCATAACCCTCTTGGAGTCTTGATCTGGGCTGCTGTGTGGACGAGTCAGCTGCAAACCACAGACAGAGGGGTTGTATGAGGGCCTGAGTACACACTTGTCCTCACAAATGGAGGGAAAATTTGTGAACGTTAGTGGCTGGCTAGATTCCATGTGCATTTGTCCTGATAATCATCACCCTTCCACGCCTATCTTTTAAAAGTTTTTATCTTATTCATGACAGAGAGTACTGTGTATGTGCACGAGAGAGAGAGAGAGAGAGAGAGAGACATACCCTCAACAGGATTTTATCACCCACAATTCCTTTCCCCCAGCCCTCCTGCTGGTCCAGATCTTGGGCACTCGTGTGCGTACCTGGCATGTTTCACATCGACCCCTGGTCAGTCATGTGGCTTCCAGCACTGCACTTCAGTAAGCTACCAACTGTGCCGCTGAGGTGTGGCCTCCTGTGGCTTTTAACATGTGACAGTTCTTAAATGGGCAATTGCTTTTAGGGTGAATGGGAATGCTTTTAGAATGATTGTGGCTTCATGCTGGCTTGGCAAGTCCCTCCTAGATGTAGTCTCTGCACATCCCAGGGTGGCATGAACACCCTCTGCCTGCTGATCCATGAGGCCAGCTATGGTGTGCTGCCCTGTCTTCTTGCTTTGTTTTCTGAGCATGTCTCTTCCTGACTATCCTCAGAGTCAGATTTTATCTTCCTGTCATCCTCTACTGAATAATACCTGCCAAACTGAATGTCTTTAGCTGGTTTTCAGATCCTTTTCCATGATGCCATGGGAGTCTGAGCCCTTAAGACCTATGGCCAATAGAATGTGAGTTTGTTGCCGTCTCTAGATTTCTGAAGCTCCCTCTGATCCAGTGTTTTTTCCTGTGCGCGGGGCCCTGTCTGTTCTTTTCTAGACTCTGGGCTCATGTCCTGTGATACACTCTGGGCACCCATCACCAGCCACCCTGTGCAGAGAGAGCCGGTGCCCACCTGCAATCCCATGGGCTGAGAAAAAAATTTGATACATCAATAAGAAAAAGGACTGTGACCTCCTTTCTTCTCTCTTCCTCCTGGAGGCCATTGGGTGTTTATGGGAATGACCTGAAGTTCATTCGTTCTCTCCTTCCTTCTCCCCTTCCTTCCTTCCTTCCTTCCTTCCTTCCTTCCTTCCTTCCTTCTTTCTTTCTTTCTTTCTTTCTTTCTTTCTAAATAAAAATGAGAAAAGTTGGAGGGTAAAACCTCTTCCAGTTCCTTATTTCTCCCTGCTTTCCAGCCTGGCCCTTCCTTTTCTCCCTTCCTCTTTCCTTTTCTTCCTTCTCTTCCTCCTCTTTCCTTTTTTCTTGGTTTCCCCTTTCCCTTGTTTTTAGTTGTAGAAGTTCATGGTTATGTCTGTATGGCTAAAATCACAATAGTGATAGGTTGAAATTCCGCTTACTACCCTCCCTCCAATTCCCAGTCCCTTCCCTAGAGGGCGATCACTGTTTTTCAAATTTTTATTTATTGGATCATCAGGAAAGTCGTGATGTGTTTTTTTGTGCAAAAACACATCATGACTTTTCTAACGACCCAATGTTTATTTTTATTGCAGAAGGCATAGCACTTACCAGACAGAGAGAGAAAAAGAAAAAAAGAGGAAGCACCTTCCAGTGGGGTGTGGTCTTGCTGCAATCCTCATTCCTCCATTTCTACATCCCATCAAGATTTTAGGCACACACACCCACAGGTCCAGCATGCTTTTCAAGCCACCAGGGCTGGGATTTGAACTGGATTCTCAGGTGGGATCTCGCTCCACGTGCACAGCACCTGTCTGCTACACTACAGAGCTGACCGCGATTGCTGCTTCTTCTTCTTTTTTTTTTAGAATTATTTCATTTAATTAATTAATTTATTTTTATTTGAACATAGAGAGAGGAGAGAGAGAGAGAATGAGAAAATGAGAAAGCAAGCCACCAGGTCTGGGACTCAAACTGTGGTTTGCCATGTGGGAGTCCAGCGCCCTTAACCACCATGCCACCTGCCGGCCCCATAATTGCTTCTTAAAAAAAATTGCCAGAGGACACGTGTGCCTACCAGAGTGAGACAGAGAAACAGAGAGAGGGAGAGAGAGAGAGAGGAAAAGGGAGAAATCACCCTGCAATGGGGCATGGTCATGTGGCAATCCCTTCTCCATTTCTCATTCAGTTGGGATTTGAGGCACAAACATACTTATGCCTGGCATTTTTCAAACCTCGGGGGCTGGGATTTGAACTGCAATTGGCTATAAGGGGTCTAGTTCCTTTAACCAGGGGGCCATGGGGTCAGCCCAATCACTGTTTTTCACATAACACCCTTTCAGAACACACACATACACACACACACACACTATATGATTGTTCTGCAATGCGTTTCTTCCTTTTAGAATCTTGTTACAACAGTACTCCCAGGCCAGGCCAGCGGGAGCTCCCCCATTCCTTGTAACGGCCCTATTATTCCAGAGTACTGCTGTACATGGCTTACTGAACCAGCCGCATTTCTATCGACTCTCAGGGGCTTCCATTGGTTCTTATTTTAAACAGTGCTGTCATGCCAGCCTCTGTGCACATGTGTGGGTTTTCTTCTGCGAGAGTTATCTGGGATGAAGATGGCTGGGTTGAAGGATATGCACGTTTAAATTCCATTAGATATTGCTAGAAATTACCTCTGTCCACACACCCTCTGACGGGGTATGAGAATGCCCGTTGTTCCGTATCTCTACCAGCGTTTGACAGTGGCCCTGCGGTGACGCTTCAGCACCCATCTGGGCTCCTTGTATGGTAGTGAGCTCCCCATCTCCAGAGGGAAAGGGATGAGGCCGGGAACTCCTGCGGGAGGCATTGTAAAGGGAGTCCTGATGGGATGAGACTGCTGAACTGGGAGACTTCTGAGGTCCCCTCCACCCAGAGGCAGCGGAGTCTTCGAGTGGCTTCACGTGAGCAGAAGAGTGTTCCTGTCCATTTTTCTCTGGTCTTCACCCAACGAGGAGCTGAGCCGAGGCTGTTTCTGCTGCTCTTTCCTTAGGTCAGCTGAAGCTGTCGATTGAGGCCCAGGACCGGGTTCTGCTGCTCCACAGTGAGTAGGGCTGAGTGTGAACTCACCAAGGAGGGGAGGGATGGGCTGACCATGGGCCGAGGCTTCTCCCGTCTTCACAGAGTCCTGCTGTGTGTCTATTGAAAAAAGTGGCTTTTTCTCTTTCTACAGACCTGGTCCCACCCTGATGTGTCTGGAGGCCACCCAGTGGGCTGGTCTCCCTAGTGAACTGGGGCTGTCCCTGGGCACCTCAGCATTGTCCTGGCCCTGGTGAAGGAGGGCTACAGGGAGCTTACCTGCCGTTCATTTTCTCTCCCACTCTCTCCTCTTTCTCTGTTTCTCAGTCAGTCATTCTCATTCACCGACAGGCAGAGCAGTGTCGTGGTTGCGACCGTAGTATTCGGAGCCAGAGCACTAATCTGCATCCCGGCTCTGATACTTTACTTGCTGTGTGACCTGGAGCAAGCGCAGTTCTCTCATGTCAGCTGGTGGTGAAATAGCATCTGTCTTACGTGTTATATGAGCATTAAATGAGTTAATATCAGTAAAGGGCCTCCAGTAGGGCCTTATTTTGAAGTAAACCCTGTCTCCATGTTTTAAAAAATAAAATAGGAGACCAGCAGATGGTGTAATGGTTACATTGCTGGGTTCCCACATAGTGGACCGCAATTCGAATCCCAGACCTGGCAGCTTGAAACTCATGCTGGGCACGTGTGCGTGCGTGCCCAGAATCCCATGAGTAGAATGGTGGAGAAGGGATTGTGGTGTGGCCATCCCCCCCTGGGGAGTGATTTCTTACTTTCTGTCTCTCTGTCTCTCTGGTGAGTACACATACCCTATAGCAAAAATCTCTCTAAAAAAAAAAAAAAGAAAGAAAAGAAAATAGAAAGCCACAATATCCAAAAATAGTGACTGAGCAGCCAGGGACCTCAACTGGCAGAAGTGTCTACCCCTGTGAAGGTGGTGCTGATAGGATGCCAGGGAAGGCTTGGCAAAGGGGTGATGTCCACACTGTATCCTGAAAGAGGCACAGACCTGAGCCAGGCAGAGGGAGTGCAGGGCCAGGCACTTCATGCAATGGAGCTGCCAGTGCAAAGGCCTGGGGGATCAGAGGGAGCCTGCTGCATTCGGAGGAGTGCATGGGAGGAGTCCTGCTTTACCTGTGCGTTTGTCCATCTGCACATCCTTCCATACAGCACATGAATAGTAATAGTTACCGAGCTGGTGTCAGGGCCTCACTGTCTGGACTCTTCTGTTTAGCCAGAAGTCCCTGCCTATCTCCCCAGCCTCCCTGGCTCATCCTGCTAAAGGCACCGTCCACCCCCTTCCCTACTCAGTTACTTGCACCTTTATGAATGCATCCTGCTCCCCCATCTCTGTGCCTTTGAACCCAGTGTTCCATGTCTTTGGAATCACCTTCCTTCTTTTTTTGAACTCCTTTGGAAAAGCAACTCCTCCTCCCTCTGATTTTACAAGAAATATGCCTGCCTCAATCACCATTAAGACTCAGGAAGGAGTCTTATTTTTTGCCTTATTTTTCCCCCTCCAGGAATTGTCCCCTTCCCCCTCCCCCCATCTCACCTGCCTGGGCCAAGTCTGTTGCTTCCTGCTCTGCGCCCTCATCACAGCCCTGAGTACACTGTACCACCCTGAGGCTGGTCTTTCTGCAAGACTGGAAGTGTGGCTGGGGCCAGGGCCAGGTCTGCCTCACCATCTCTGGTAGCCAGAGAGACCCAGGGGGTGATGAGGCCTGGATCCTGCCCTCAAGAACCACACCCTTGAGGGGAGGGATGCACGTGGAAGCAGTAACTTGGATACCAGGTGGGGTAGACCAGCAGGCGCCTGGGGTCCTCCGGTCCTGGCCTTGGGGGTCCAAGGTGACGTTCCCAAGGACCAGCAGAGGGCTGTTCTTTGCCTGCCAGGGCCCGATTCCAGCTGTGCAAACAGTGTTTGCAGAGTGCACCTTGGCCTGCACCGCTCCATTTATCCTGCACAGTTTGCTTTGGCTTCACCCCAGTCTCAGGCCCTTCATCCCTTTCAGCCTGTCCTCATTCCTTCCTTTGGCTTCCCAGGCCTCACACTTCAGACTATGGCAAGCGCAGTCAAAATCAAACAGAGAAGAAAACAGAAAGGAGGAGCAGGTGCCATCCGGTCTGTTGTCTGGTTTCTGTAGACCTCAGGCAAATGGGCCATGCTGCTTTTGATGCAGAACTGCAGCCACCCCACACCTGTCCCTTGTTTTTGTTTTTGTTTTTGTTTTTTAAAGTATTTATTGAATTTTATTTGTTTATTATTTTTCTTCAATTTGGCCAAAGAGAGAGAGGGAGAAAGAAAGAGAGAGAAAGCAAACCACCAGGTCCAGGATCCGAACCATGGTTGGCCATGTGGGAGTCCAGCACCTTAACCACCATGCCGTCTGCCAGCCCCCCTCCCCCTGCTTTTGTTTATTATTATTTTTTTCTGTAGCAAACCTTTGTTGAGTGGTCGCTTATTTGTCAGGTACTCTACAAAGCACGTTAGACCCTTATCTCATTTGTCTGGCACAACTACCATGTCAAGTGCATACTGTCATCACCAACATTGAAGAATGACAAGTCTGGTCTCAGAGAGGCAGAACCACTTGTTCTAATTCACATGGCTCATAAGTGGGGCCGCTGGGATCCATGCTTGGGTCTGCCTAGCCCTGGAACCCAAGCTTGTGACTCCTGTGCTCCGTCTCCATCCACAACATGCTTACTGGATACAGTGAGGTCTCCAGAAGGCCATCTTGTATGGTAGAAAGAGCACTGGACTCAGAGTCAAAAGATGTTTTTTTTTTTTTTTTTTTTTTTTTGAATTTGGCATATGGCTTAGGCACTCGCCAGAGAGAAAGTATCCCATAGGGCATGATCATACCAATCCCTTCTCCTCCATTTCTCCCTCCTTTCAGGATTTTGGGAGCACATGCACATGTGCCCAGTGTGTTTTTCAAGATGCCAGGCCCACGACTTGAACTGTGCACTCAGCCATGTGGGATCCAGCCACCTTACCTACCATGCTACTGGCTAGACCCGAAATATAAGTTCTAAATCCAGCTGTCATTCTCTTGGTCTGTGATTTGGGGCAAGTTTCTTACTGTTTTTAGGGCCCACTTTGTGGCCTCATTTCCCCCATTAAGTGAGGGGCATAAGCTCTCTTCCTGTTGTAATCGTCAGGGAATTGAGTGTAATGTGCTCAAACGGAGGCTATTTGGGTGGTGCCGGAGTGTGGGGGAGAGTGGGAATGGATTGGAATGGGGAGGGATTAATGTCCCATGGGGGTTATTCAGATTAAGCCTGGTAGCACATGGCCATTATACTGCTGCCCCCAGCTATCCCCTGTCGTATTTCAGATCTTCTAACATGTATGTGTGTGTGTGTTCCCATTCACCCACCCCAACCCCACCATTTTAATTCTGTTTTAGTTATAGAAGGAAAAGGCCTGATGAACAAAGAGCCTGGCGTCTGTGATCCCTATGTGAAGGTATATGATGGTGGGAGGGTGGGTGGGCAGGGTTGAGGGGCCATGTCCCTGGGTTCAGTTAGAAGGTCTCAACACAGCTGTAGGTCTGTGTGGGACCATTCGAAGTGGTGGCTACCATCTCAATCATTCGGTCAAGTTGGTAGTTACGAGGAGCAGTGATAAGGCTCCATGCTAGCTAGGATCCTTCCTGTAGCCTGGCTTGATCCCAAGGATTTCCTGTAAGAGCTAGAGCTAGTATATCTATCTATCTATCTATCTATCTATCTATCTATCTTCCTATCTATCATCTATCTACCATCTGTTTGTCATCTATTGTCTATCATCTATCTATCTATCTATCTATCTATCTATCTATCTACTAACATCTATCTACCATCTACTTGTCATCTATCATCTATGATTTATCTATCTATCTATCTATCTATCTATCTATCTATCTATCTTCCTATCTATCATCTATCTACCATCTGTTTGTCATCTATTGTCTATCATTTATCTATCTATCTATCTATCTATCTATCTATCTATCTATCATCTATATACCATCTATTTGTCATCTATTATCTATCATCTATCGATCGATCTATCTTCTTTCTATCATCTATCTTTCTATCTCTCTCTCTATCTTCTATCATCTACCATCTATTTGTCATCTATCATCTATCTGTATCTATCTATTATCTATCTATCTATCTATCTATCTATCTATCTATCTATCTATCTATCTATCAATCATTGCCAGAGGGTGCCTGGATCACCAGAGAGAGGCAGAGAGACAGGTAGAGAAAGAAGTAGAGAGCATCCTTCAATAGGGTGTGACTGCTTCTTGATCCCATTTTCATTTCTCCATCCTGTCAGGATTTGGGGCACACATGCACATGTGTCTGGTGTGTTTTTCAAGCTGCTGGAATCAGGATTTGAACCGTGGGATCTGGCTCCCTTAACCTCTAGGCTACAGGACTGACCCAAGAGCTACAATCCTAAGGGTGATCTTGGTCATTGACATTGGTGGGCATAGCGAATGTGTGGTTGACTTAACTCCATAGATAATTCTCTTCTTGGGAACAGCCCACGTCTTCACCTCCTGTCTCCCAGAATAGAGGCAGGGCCTCCAGGTTTGGACAATAGAGTGGATGAACATCTCCAAGGGCTGGAAGAGCTTTCTGTGTTGGGCTCTTGCAGTGAAGTTAGAGTCCCTGCAGGGGCCAGGGCTTACTTCAAGCCGGTGCCAAAGGCCACACCCATGTGTGGCAGCCAGGGTGCCAGTGCAGGCCAATGTCTCACCCTGCATTCTTCTCTAAGTCCTCAGGCTGGTCAGAGGCCCCTGCTGGCATGGACTTGATTGGGAACAGGGCAGGGCCCCTGAGGCTGGGGAAGACCCTGCACTGGGATAAGAGCTTGGATTTGGGTTCTCAGCACGGGGCTGACCCAGAGCCTCTGCAAAGGAAGCATTTGGTGGCTGCCAGGGACTTAAAAGCAAGGGCACCCTTTGCATTTGGGGAAAACCTCTCCACTTGGAGGAAGAGCAGGGGCGATGAAGTTGCACCCCATCTTTGGCTGATCCTCCTTTCCATCTCCCCCGACCTGCCGAAGCTCTGTCTTGCCATGTGACTCCAGTGCGCTGGTTCCTTGTTCCTGTCTAGCATTTGACTGGGAACGCCACCCTGTCCTCTGCAGAGGCTGGTGTGAAGGTTATAGGGAGCCTCGAACTTGGAGCTGAGCTGAGTCAGCTGCTGGGCTTGGATGAATACCGGACCCTGAGACAAGCTAACACTTACTTTTCTTCCATCCAAGATTTCTTTGATCCCTGAAGAGAATCGAGCTCGCCGTCAGAAGACACAGACCATCCCAGACTGCCGAGACCCAGCTTTCCATGAGCACTTCTTCTTGTAAGTGATGGGGGGGTGGGGAGCGAGCCCTCAGCCGAGGGGAAGGAGTGTTTACCTGGAAACAGCTCCATTTGCCAAATGTCGAACTAGATCTAACAAGAAAACAGCGGCTTCCAAAAGCTGTCTTTGTTTTTCTTTCACTGTGTCCTTGCATTCCTGGCACCAGGCCCAGCAGCGAGGACCACAGTGACAAGGTATCACTTGGCTGGTTCTTTTAAGGAAAATGCCCAGCCTGGGGCTGGCAGCTCCTGAAAAGAGTAGGCACTTTCCCACTGTGGCTCGGGTCACGCTTTCTCCTTGAGCAGAAAGAATTTTCCAAGCTGAGGTGGTTTTGTCTCCCCGACCCCCTTTTAATGTAAACTTACTAACCTCGCTGAGCCTTGGCTTTCTTGTTTATAAAATGGGGCTAATAATAGCACTCACCTCTGAGAGTCTGAGGTGTAAATGGGACAGTGTGACAGAAGGCCTGGCAGAGAGGTAGCTATTACTGTTGTTATTGTTATTATTTCTCTCCCCATCTCTGAACTCTGGGGCCACTGGGAAAGGAACAAACTTTCTGTACTTTCCTATTAGTGAAATCTAGCAATAATGTTTCATTTTTTTTTCTTCCCTTACTGCACATGGCCATTTTGCTTATTGTAGATAAATAGAAAACATAGATGAGGCCTGGCTATGGGAGCACAGGTGCTGTTTTACAAGGCTGGATGCCATATGGAAGATCAGGGTTCAGACCCTGGTCAACCTGCACACAACCATGATCCCGGCTGGCTAGAAAGTCTCGCGGATATGTGTCTTTGTGTTTGTGTGGTGGGGGTTGTGGCATGGTAAGTCCCTGTTGAGGTTGCTTGTGTTTGTCTTATCTCATGAAAGAAAGAAAATAAATAAACTTTAAAAAAAAGAAAATATAGATGAGTAAGAAAAAGAAAATAGGAAACTCCTATAGCTTTACTACCCACAGGCAGACATGCCTTGCTGTATGGTAGACCCTCCTTGTATGCAGTCTTCACTTTCTGCGGTTTCAGTTACCCATGATTACCTGTGTTCTGAAAATACAGAAGTATTTTAGGAGAAAGAGAGAGAAAGAGAGACCATGTTCATATAACTTTTATTAACATACTGTTATAATTGTTCTGGCTTATCATTAGTAATTGTTGTTAATCTCTTAACTGTGCATGATTCATAAATTAAGCTTTATCACAGGTACATGCGTGTAAGAAAAAACACGTATTTACGGTGTTTGTTACTGTCTGCAATGTCAGGTATCCACCAGGGGCCTTGTAACATTCCCTGCAGATTAGAGGGGACTACTGCTTTTCTTTTTGGACCTTTGTATGGGTGTGTATGTGAGAGCGTGTCGATGTTTATAGAAATGCACTTTTTGGTATGAGTGTTGGAACCTCCAGGTTGTCCTCCATGTAATAGCAGCTCTGTTATGCACGTAGGTCCTCGTCTCCCACACTGTTTGTACTATCGTTTGTTTAACCAGCTGTTTAGGTTATTTCCAGGTTTTTACAGTTATGACCAACTCCCTGGGTCTGGCCTGAAGCTTGGTCTTACTAACGCTCTGCTCGTCCGATTTGCTTTGCAGTCCTGTCCAAGAGGAGGATGATCAGAAGCGTCTTCTGGTCACTGTTTGGAACAGGGCCAGTGAGTCAAGGTGAGGAACTGCTGGCTGGAGGGAGACCCTGCTCTGGGCTAGTGGGTGGCTGCTGGGTGCCGGCATCCCACGGGGGGCTGTTAGTGCTTGCTGGCCAGATGGGTAGTCATGGCAACACTAAATGCAGAGGCTGCTGCTCCGGGTCCCCATGGTCCAGGTAGACCAAGGACTGTGATAGTCATGAGCATTTGCTGAGCACTTGGCCACTCTGGTGGCCTCTGGGCTGGTCCACCAGCCTCCCGGTGGACTCTGGTCCCTCAGGGACTTCAGGCATGGCATGGAGATAAGGGACAGCAGCGACACTCACATACTCAGCTCCACGGGACTCTAAGCACCATGAATATGGGCCTGTTCTCTTTTTGTTACCACTCTACCTACCGCCTGGTACGTGGATGTATAATGCATTTTCTTCAATATGGTTGTATGAACAAAGGACAGGAATGAGCAGTAAGCACAGTTCACTGTGGGCTGAGACGATGCAGGAAGGCTTCATAGAAGAAGTGGGATTTTGAACACGGACAGAGATTCAGAATAAAACAAGGAGAGGTTGGAAAGGGCATTCCAGACAGGGCAAGGCATGGGCAAGGGCAAGGAGGCAGGAATTTACCTGGTGGGCTCAGGCTGCCTCGAGGAGGCCCTTTGGGGAGCGGGGGGGGGGGGGGGAGGG